ATGGTATATAAGATATTGGATGAACGCATAATAAAAGAGATTGTGTTACTGTTCCGAGGAGAGTCCTTTTACTTTTCGTATGACTATGGTGAGTATATGAATATATAGATGAACAATACGCAATTAGTTTCTGTTACTCTGACATCTTTTGATTTGTGGCACGGCCAACAATGATATAATTAACAGATAGTCTATCGTTATAGATCTCACAACATCCTTACAACAGAAGGAAGACAAATTGGCAGCATGCGAGAATGTTCCACTTTGGAAACAAGTAAGATACCAGGATCAGCTAAGCGTTCTCTTTGGATTTCGTCATGCATTGTATGCGAACCATCCTTTATGGTATAATAGGTGACAAAGCATTTCTGGTGGAACGAATCGATGTTGCAGTGTCTGATTGACATGGAGGTAAATATCAGTCATGGCTTTGGTTCGCAGACGTTTTCCCGCGTTAGTTGATCGATGTTGTCTTGTTTGTTCGACTTTAGCTTCACTCATGGATTTTACCAATAATGCAAGGCTATGTACAAATTGAATTGTGTGAAATAGAAAATCTGCCCTTTTATCTGATTTTGATTTCTCGGCGAAGCAGAGAACGTGCAGGTATGTAATAGTTTCTTCGCTTGTAATAATTAGAATTGTGACGTACTAAGGTTTTCCTTATAGGATTAAGGTATCAAAGACGCGGAGTAAACGAACAGGGACACGTGGCCAACTTTGTCGAAACAGAGCAAATTCTCTTGACAACAGTAAATATTATTTTTTCAATGTCTTTATGAAAGCAACATCATTCACATATTAAACCTGCTTTACTGCTTAATATCTTCGTCTCTAGATAGATGACGTACCAAATGTTGTTTCATTCTTACAAGTGAGGGGTTCAAGTGAGTAAACGATGACATCCTCATTACTTGCACCTATTAGCAGTCTTGAGTAGACTAACGTTCATGCTTTGGTAGTGCCGTTATTTTGGTCACAGTCTCCATATGGCTTAAAGCCTAAACCGGTATTGGAGCGTAAACCAAAGGACAATGAATTAGCAATCGCTACACACTTTAGTCAATTGATTGAACAATACGGAACTATCGTTTGTATTAGCCTGACCGAGTCAACTGGTCGTGAACAGATAATCGGTAGTGCCTATCAAGAGGCTGTTGCAAATTTAAACAATGATAATATTGAGTAAGTATGTTTATATGCATTATGAGACGTCAACCCAAAGCAATTTTCGATTGATAAATGGAACTTTACTTTATCAGATTCGTGGAATTTGATTTCCATAGAGAATGTAGGGGGATGAAGTATGAAAACATTTCAAACCTAATTGGAGAATTGGAGAATAAGTTTTCGGCGATGGGGTAAGTAATTATAGTACAAACTAATGAAAGAATGGAACGTGTGGTCTTACTTTGGTTTGCCGTTATTTAGATATTTCTGGAAAGCTGAAGGGTCTCCAGTACACTGTCGTCAGACTGGAATATTTCGCACCGTAAGAATGCAGAGCTGTTATAGTGGCTCTTGTTTTGTACATATGAATAATGAAATTTTTTCCAATATGTTTAGAATTGTATGGATTGCTTAGACAGAACAAACGTAGTACAGGTCAGTTTGATAGCATTTTGTTGATACTGTCAGGTTTTCAACGTCTCACACACTCTTAATCTTAAACAGAGTGCACTCGCACGTCACGTTCTTATTCTTCAACTACTTCGGTTTGGAATACCAGAAATACTAGACAATGGAGTGTCGCACTATGACGCGTTTGAAAATATTTTCAATGATGGTAATGACTTATAGCAGTAATAATTATAGCACTTGTTTATTTGTGATTGCTAAGAATTTTGGTCTTTACTAGTATGGGCAAATAACGGGGATTCAATCAGTCGAGAGTATGCAGGAACTAGCGCTTTAAAAAGCGATTTCACAAGGTAAAGTGATTGTATACATATAGTTCATAAAGACTGTGTTATTAATAGATAAATAATTTTTTTTATATTAGGACGGGTAAGCAGTGCTCTTGACGATTTTATTGTGACTTTCAAAACAACGGATTTCCTCACATTTACGGATATATTATACTTTCGCTAAAGGTAAACGCAATATTCAGGGAATGGTCAACGATGCGTCAAACTCGCTAGCCCGGATGTATCAGAATACGTTTAGAGACTTTTTCCGTCAGGTGATTGCCACGTAAAGAGAACGGGATTTAGCTTTATTTTAATTGTTCGATTTTTAATCAGAAATATTTGATAAATTTTAGGCAACTATTGACTACCTTCTTGGGCATCGATCTGTAGAAGTATTTGAAGAGTTACAGAGACGTTTTGAAACGTCTGAACCAGGCGAAGAGGATCGCTGGGCTAAGATTAGAGCAACAGCAAGTAAGTTGTCTTAAAAATAGGTTTTATTCGTGCAAGGCTGTATACTCGACAAGTGCTTTTGTTAATATTAATTAATTTCATTCCCGCAGTTGAAATAAGTAGTTCCATAGTAATTTATGACAATGAGGTTAAATCAAATGGATGGACTTTTCTATCGCCGTCCGAGCCAAACGCCAAGTATGAATATAATGTATAACGTTTGACCCTTTTCCACGTATTAGAAATGCTCAATTCTTGATTGTAAACGTTTGCAGGCGGAGTAAATCATATGAAGAGAAGGTTTTATTGCTAACAGATAAAGCACTGTATATCTGTACTTATCACTATGGCCTTGAGAAGATTGTCCAATTTGTCAGAATTGGGTTAGGAGAGATTCAAGGCATAGTCAAAGGTTTGTTCGTTTACAATTTAGGTAGAGCGGTGTGTTGTTGATTTCTAACGTCACTCACATTTATTAGGGGAATACATTTTGACAACTTTATATACATCATGCACAACCGTCGACGATAATTATGGACTCGTGATTTATTATTGTGCGGCTGGTGAATCCACACGCCTTAATTCTGGAAGCATAAGAAATAATGCCGACCCTCACACGGCAGACGATGAGGAGACAAAGTTTATAGCGTTTAAAGCATTTCGTAGTAATATCGTTGGGGAAGCTACCAAGTTCGATAGTGGAGCTGGTGGCGATCATATAACAGGCACACAGACCGCAAAGCAGGTTGTCAACGAAGTCGTGAGCGAGATTGTAACCGCCTGTCAAGCGATTGGAAACCATAGAGAATCCTTTGTGGTTGAGCAGCCAATCATAAGGTAAAAGCAATTTATTTCACGTAATCATTATCCAAGACGTTTTCGCTCATAAAGACGTTTCTCCCCCGTCTGTAGTTTTGCTGAAGCTAATAAGAACACTGGCATAATGACGAAAGTCGGATTCCAGGTCAAGCGAGCATTGTGGCTGTAGGTGGTTATTATTCTAGAATTCGTATTAATTAGCGGCCATTTTCTCAAAAACATTATGAAAGCCGAGCGATTATCATTCGAATCGCACGGGGCAATGGTTTCATTTACGTTAAATATGTATGACCCGTAATTTAAATGCTTGTTGTAATAAAAGCAAAATACTTGCATAAACATTCAATATTGTAATCGATATTTATTAGAACAATGTAAATAATTTCCTCTATATTATTCTACTTGATTATCTCTTAAATTTAACAAAGTAGTTAGTGGTCGCATTTCTTTGCGCTCGAAATTTATCGATCAGCTGAAATCTGACTTTTTTCTGATAAGGTGTTTTCAGGATGCTTAATTAAACTCTTCCGGCAGACTCAGACCTTTAACTAAACTTTTCTGCCTTCTCTTCATAACATCTGTCTCGCTTACTATATGGCGCTGCTCCCATTTGACATGTTCACGTTCATTAGTAGGTGTAAGGATAGCCTCAGATGCACTCGTGTGCAGATGAGTCTCAGCATCATTATTATTGTTATGCGGTATAGTTATGTCTGGCAGCGAATGAGATATATGAAGAGACTGAGGACGGGAAGACTTGTCTATTTCATCGTGATTATAGCTTTTTTGAGCCGTTGCCTCACGTTCAGTTGCAGCATTCCTTTTCCTTAAAACACCATGAGCATCTGTATTCCCGACTTTGGTGTTCCTTATAAACGGCTTGTCCTCATAACATTCCATGAACCATCTTGCAATAGCTCTTACTGCACCATGGCTATCCGGCAATAATGTCATCATCAACAAAAATGCGTGTCCTTGTCCCTTGATTAGGCGTACTTCAACATCCTCGGTTTCGCTTGAATTTGCGTCTGCAGCGCTCATACGGAATCCTTCGCCTCCCTTACCGCCATGTGCTGATTGTCGCATTCTACGTTTAGCTTCACGAATACGCCCCGCAAATACGCAAGTATCATCTACTAGCGGATCTTTTTCCCCACACATGAAGTAAGTGCGAGGGAACTGAGAAAGTATTTTATCAGGCGCTACAATCGGCGAGAGATAATAATCGGCGCGGAAGTCAGGATAGTTATTGGGACCAAGGTAGAGAATAGCCATTGCACGCATCTTTCGGAAAATAAGAAAGTTAGAATAGGAAGCAAAAATATTTGTAGAAGTAAACTATTTCTTGCCAAGACGCTGATGGTATAAAAACACTTACCAGATCTGGCGTAAGCACACGATCATGAATAAAACTCATGCGACTCGTCATTGCTAATCGGGTTTCAATAGCTGTCCGTGGGTGCGTTTTTTCGCTATTTTGCGGGCTTGGTGGATTCACATCCACAACTTGAATACGCTGTTCGATCGTCTTTTCGCTTTCGTCATCTTCAATGGACCTAGAGAAACTTTTTCTCCACCTTCGCTTCTTAACATCCGGTACAACAGCCAAAGGACTCTGGTAGCGTAGATGATTTTTTGATTCCATGATGCTTGGGATCGAGCCGGTTGATTCTGCACGTAGAACTGCTACATGTGCAGGAGGCATCCAACACGTAATGTTAAAGTCTAAGCATGGATAGACAAGGACCAAGGCGCATGGATGGGGGAGAGGGGTTGGAGATTCAATTATTTTGCACATTACTGCAGCTACAAAGTTCCCTCCGCTACAAAACAAAGAGCACAGTGAGAAAGTTAAATAGGTGTTAACTCGTAGTTTTTGTTTAAATATAATTGATAAAAATTTTTGTGTATGATATAATCACTTACGCAGAATCACCAAACAAAGAAATTTTAATTCTCTCTTTTGACCGGCCGTCTTCGTATTTCCATCCACTCAATCCAATATTCTCTCCATTACTCTCGACAATACTCTTGTATACGTCAAAACACTCATCCAAGCCATATGGATACGGATATTCAGGTGCTTTTGCATAGTTAACGCATACAATCGGTATTCCAGTTTTTTTAGTTAAATGTGATAGATACTCTTCATGACAAGGCGGAGGCATTGTAACAAATCCTCCACCTGGGAAGTGGAGAATTATTCTATCGGTGTTCTTGTACGATTCAACCGTACCAGCATAATATATCCATACTTTTATAGGCGCTTGTCCGTAAGCGCTGTTCTGTGGACGTGAGATGGCAATCTCTTTGGCGATTGTAAGACTGGGACTGCCAAGTTTGATAACTGCTCTAAAGTAGGGATTGAGCATCTTCTCCCAAGATACGCGCATATGTTTTACAGTTATCGTGGCTCTAATACGGCGACACTGTTAATAGCAGAAGAAAAATTCTGATAAATACTTATCATCGTTTTACATATTGGTCAATCCGCCAAACTAACCTTCTCGTCTGCTCGATCTGCAAATATTAGATAGTAGATGGAGAATATGATTGACATGAAATCCCTGAGAAATTTAGGTTTAATACGCATGGCAGTCCAGAAACCAGCATCGATTGCCGTCAGAACCCACGTGGCTCTGTAGTAATTACGGCTGTACTAATCATAAATACTAGTCATTAGATGACTTTTCATCAAAAAACCAAAGCATATTTAACATCGAGTTTACGTCGCATATACATACAAGTCTTGCCAACGGTTCTGGTGCTAACACAACAATTGACAAAAAAATAAATTAACGTTAGAAATGTTATTCATATAGAGAGTTGCTGATGTTTTGTTGTTAATAGAGAAACAACGGTACTTACATCCAAGACCGACCAATCGATCAGCATTCTTTAGAATGTACATACACGCCAAAGTGCCAGCCACCAGTTGGAAAGGCGAATACTTTGCTTACATATTGTTCAAGAAATGTTCGTTAGCCAAACATAAATCACACAATTATTACATAGTATAAAACGCTGTTGTGTTTGCCTGAGATACTCACACAGTTTCTCATTTAATCTACGTAAGAGTTTTGGTCCGCGTCTATCGCATTTGTACAAGTAGAAGTACCTAAAGTTGAAAAATAAAGTATGTTGATCTTGTCAAACTGTAAAAGTTCAGCGAATAGCAAGCATGGAATTGTAGTATTATTTCCATACCATGATAAGGACACTAATAATACTTGAGCCCGTTTCCATGAAGGCGAGGGTTTTCCCAAGATATGATCAATCATGTTGGGGGAGGAGCAGGATTATCAACCATCTATATTGATATCCCCAAATTAGTCCGCATTTAGTTGTCGCATGTATCACCGATTGGGTAATAATCTTATCAAAATCCTAAATACTAAAGATCAGATTAAATCGGTCAAGTCAGATTTCATGTATCCACGTGAATAAAGTCCACGTTGATATGGGAGAAAAACACAGAGGTATCTGTTTGGTTAGCCTTTTGAATGTCGTCATAATTAAACAACAATATGTGTAATAATTACAGTTTACAGAGCTTTACTCTTGCCAATCCAAAGCAATTATAATGCGTACGTGTTTATTATTTTTATTTCTCATACAGTTAAAAACATTATTTTCGTTCATGGTTTCCTTGAGATATAAAATTTTCGTATCATAAAGACAGCAAGGGACTTCATTGATAGCTGAAAAGAAAGTGATTCTAAATTAGATGCTGTAATGTCTGTAAGGAAACGTTGTTCGCCGATGGGTATCTTGACGTCAATGTATCCGTATTGATGTGCCTTGCGACATTGGATTCTCATCACTTTGAAATATCTGGCCGAGTCCTACTTCGGTAGAGACACTTATGAAATATCTGCGCTGACGTGTCTTCGTGTCCTGACCAGTGTTGGATGTGGATATGCACACTCACATACAGCAAGCAAAAAAAATCGATCGAATAAACAGAAGGGAATGATGACATGTATCACGACACAAAAAGCTAAAGCCTGTGGGGACCGTAATAAGAAAACGAAAACTTTGCACCAAATTTGGAAATTCTAAACAGAGATCGAGACATGTGAACTTTCGCACGGGTAAATAGCTGAAATGGGTGAAAGCAATGGCTTATCGTTGTCGTTATGGGTCATTGATTATTTCTCTTTCCCACATCATTTACTCGTAACACATTTCTTCTTATTGGTACAATACATATAATGGGATACATAATGTATCACCACGAACCAGAACTTGCAACTAAACACTCTCATTGTCCATAATTCGAACATGTCCAAGTTATGTGTATTTCTCTTGCTCGTCACATTATTCCTCGCTTTGTTCACTCCTGCTAGAGCTAGAGTAAACACCTTGAAAACGGCTTTGGATGAGGTTAGTTAGCGTCTCTTTCGTTATGTTTGATCATAAGAGCATATTACCATGTCCGAACTTATTAATTATAATTATACAAAAAAAGTCGTCCTCCGATGATTGCCTCAAATGTCCTTTTATTCGAATCGATTGCCAGTAAGTATGCAGTGAGTTACCGGAGTAAAGTTAGTCAAGGCAGCCACTTAACAGTTGATTTAGTTGCAGTGAAAATGAAATCCGTTGGCAAATCGAACAAAGCTGTCATCAATGCGGTCGTTGTGGGTGCGTACCAAAGGAATTTTATTTTCATGAAAACATTGGCACGGCCCAGCAACAGTGAAGAAGAATCTTATTGATCCACTATATGATAGAACATGGTAAATATATGAGTTTCTAAAGAATGATAATTGTCTTTGATTTAATATTCGCTTTGGTACCGATAAATGAGTCCAAACAAACAGTTTAATATGAAATGTTGACAATCATTAATTGTTACGTATTATTATTATCTTTCAGGAAGGCATGCTATATATATATGACGAATTGTTGGTTGTCAATACAGGATATTCTAACTTTTTCTCACTTATCATTATTTGGAAAAGTCTCTTTAATATGACTCTCACAATCAATCAGGAGAGCGTCCAACTCAATTAATATTAATATGTAAATTCAACAAGTGGTAAACAAGCATGCAGTTGACATAATAATAGGGAGAACTATCCATATTCTCTCGGAAGGATATTCCCAATTGGGATTTCTCAGTCGTCATTAGTATTATACAATATTTTAATAACCATTATAATGTGTCTTTTAATCATGTCTCTTATCGTTGTTAGTATGTATCTAGAAAGATCATTACCAGGAGAAAAGAATCTTCATGCCTAAATAATTAAAATAAAGTAACATTTTTCCAACTTCAAGATCTACCGTTCGGATCTGTTTGTTCATTCGCTCTTCATCTTGCATCGTGCGTGTATAATGTACATCCGGGCCGATCGTTGAATATAAATATAATAAAGAACATAGTCTGTTGGCTTTGGCTTTGCGCAAAATAAGAACAACGACTGGCTATTGAAAATACTATAAAAGCACAAATGGGAAGGTGTGTTCATCTTCGAGTGTTTACTGTTCTTATTGCAATTGTCGTTGTAACAACAACTGTTGACGGTAAAGAGCGCGTATATGGTCTTTTGAAAGTCCCATTCTTCTCGTCAACTGCTTCAAAGTACGCAGGATGTATCCTCACGCCGAATATTTTTTTTTGATCTTGTTCTTCCATTCTTCGCGTAAACAAGTTGAACTAATTCGTAATAATTTTTTTTTGATCCAAGTGATATCCTCAGAGGTGTTCGCTCACTTTCAGTGATATGAACTACCTACTACTACCAAAATCAATTTTTTAATTGAAAGCTTGCTCTTGAAGAAACAAGAAAAAATAGGAAAAAGAGTAGAAAAAAATTGACAGCATCTATTTAAGCTGCCTTTGGACAAGTAATATTTTTAAACTCATCTCTAACAAATGCGCAAACGTTTTGGGAAAGATATTCTTGTCTTTTATAATCCAAGGGAGGACAGGTTCATGGCACCCTTCAAGACGTCGGCATCCACATCCGCAGATTTCACATGTATATTTACCCTGCATTTCGATAAATTTATATAACTGAATTAATTTAATTTAAACAAAAGATCCGGTTATATTAATTAATTAATAAAAAACACGGAATACATATTACTATGGCTAGGATACTTAAACGTCCAGGTTGTGATCGAGAAATAAAAACTGGTAAAACCCGAGATCTTAATACCTTCGTAAAGGTCAATGTTTACCGACTTTGCGTTTAATGCAAAACCCAGCCCCAGCTCCAGTAGGAAATCCAGCTAATCAAAATCCTGCTGAAAACCCAACCCCGGTGCAAAATGCGACACCAGCTGAAACCCAATTCCGATGCAAAACCAAGCTCCAGCACCCATTCCCGAAGGCGACCTCATTTCGTTCGATGAAAATCCGTCGATGACCAGCCAAGAGAGGCAAGAGAACCGGCAGTGGACTTTTAACCCAGATATTGGATCTGTATCAAGTTCTAATATATGATACTCAGGAAGAACAAAAAAAGTAACCAATTCTAACGATAGATGAATAATAATATGACTATAAAACCAGAAATAATAAATAATAAAATATTTAGATCAAAGCCTATACCTAAAACTGACAAAGAATGGTTTGATTTATGGAGGCGAAGTATGTGATTACTATGCATTCATACAAAAAGGATACTATGCCGAAAATGAGCCTTTAGATTTCTTTGAATCAATCGAAGAAAAGATTGCTGATTTTTATAAGAGAGAGTTAGCTTAAAAGGTGGACAATTGGATTAAATGCATGTATGAAGAAAATTACACCGGAAACTCCAGACCCTATATATAAAACTTTCCCATTCAAACATGAAACAATAGAAATTATTAGAGAAGATCGAACTAACGCAACAATAGAAAAAGGATATAACGAAATTATAGATCAAATAGAAGGCGAGGCATCGCAAGAAGCAAATAATTCTGAACAATATATCACTTCTCAGTCGGGCAACTTCAATTTATAAATAGTATAAACTTTTCGTTACCGAGTTTAGCTAAGATGGCAGAAAATTTACGAGATGAAAAAAAGGCCGAAAACAAAACACCAGAACAGCTTGCCAAATGTTTTCCAATTATGTCGAAATTCATCTCATCTCATTTGTTATCATTGCTTACGCGTAAAGGAACTTTTCCATATACATATGTAAATGATTAAATAATAAAACAAATTAATGAGACACAGCTCCCATCACGTAAAGATTTTAATAGTGATTTAGATGGGTTTAATTACTGTGATTATAATTGTAGAATAGAAAAATGAGAGCATGGAGAGAAGATAGGGAAATGCAAACATAAATGTCAGAAATGTAAGCATAAAGAAGAACCAGGTAATTGCAATAAATGTAAAGAAAATAAAGAATGTGAACACGAAAAAAATTTATACCATATCTCAAAAGGATTATGATTTTGCACATATGGTCTGGCGAGAAACAGAATGCAAGACTTTTGGAGATTATCACGATATCTATCTTAAAACTGATGTATTGATCTTAGCAGACGCATTCGAGGCATTCCGTAAAGCCTCATATCCAGCATTCAAGCTCGATCCAGCAAATTATTTAACCGCACCAGGTCTAGCATGGGACGCATGTATGAAGGTAATTAAAGTTAAGCTGGAATTATTTAATGAGCATCAAGGGGATATGCACGATTTCTTTACAGCCATGAAAAGAAGTAGAATGTCTTTGGCTAGACGATGTATAGCTAGAGCTAATATTTCAGGATTAGAAGGGTATGACGGAAAAAAGGCAAAAAAATGGTTGCTCTACTTAGATGCAAATAATCTTTATGGCTGGGTAATGTCTCAATATTTACCAACCAGTGGATATCTACTCATCCACTAGAAGCAATTCATTCATTAGTGCAGAAAATTTTAAGATTAAAAGAAAAATCAAATCAAGGATGTTGTTTAGAGGTTAAGTTATCAATTCCAAAAGAATTACATCCAAAGTTTCGGGACTATCCTATGTGTCCAGAACGAATAAAAGTACCATATGATTGGTATAGTTCAAAACAAAAAGAATGGGCAGGTAAACAACGCTCAAATACTGAAAAACTTATACTAACTCTTCATGATAAAGATCACTGTTATACATTATAGAAATTTACAGCAGTGTATAAGAGAGGGATACATTTTCGAAAAAATATATCGAGTTCTGAGTTTCGAACAATCTCCTTGGATGAAACCCTATATAGCAATGAATACGCAACGACGAGCAAAAGCAAAAAATGTATTCGAAAGAGATTTCTGGAAGTTAATGAATAACTCTGTATTTGGGAAAACTATGGAAGATGTTAGAATGCGAGTAAATATTGATTTACGCAGACTAATTTCAGATCCTGCATTTGTTAGTCGTAAAATATTCTACGGAGCTAATCTAGTAGCTGTACATTGAAGACAGACTAATGTAAACCTGAATATGTAGGGGCATGTATTCTCGATCTTTCTAAATATTGTATGTATGATTTTTGATAACGGATACCTTAAAAAGAAATACGGAAATCGGGTGAAACTTTTATATACTGATACTGATTCGTTAATTATAGTTATTGAGACGGAAAATATATATCAAGACATGATCGATGATTGTGATTTATTCGATTTCAGCGATTACCCTGAAGACCATTGGGTAATAAAGAATCTTCCAGAAGATCAATGGATAATTAATGAAGAAGGTAAGCGTGTCTTAAGAAATACAAAAGTTATAGATAAGTGAAAGGATGAAAACGGGGGAGATCGAGCTATTGGCTATGCAGGAGTTCGTGCAAAATGTTATAGCGTTGTGTGCGAAAATTCACGAAAAAAATATGATCAAAGCTAAAGGTCTTAAAAAGTCTCTCATCAAGAAAGCTTCACATAAATATTCGAAAACTGTGTTTTAGAAGGAAAAGAGGATCAACCACGAACCGCTCAATTCCTCCGAAGTTACGGACATCGAATGTATAGAATAAAGCAAACAAAGAGAAGTGTTAACCCACTAGATACAAAATTGAAAATAATGTAACGACATATTTATATGGGGATTGTGAAATTCCGGAAGAATAAACACCCAACTAAATTGTTCTACTTATTGTAATAAATATGTCTATTTTTTATGATCAATAGAAAATAAATATAACAATTAAATAAAAAACTTAGTTAATAAAATACACACGTTTGAGGATACACAACATGCATACAAATAACCCACTGATATTATTGCTGAAATTGTCTCAAAACTTCCATTAGAGGATTTAGATAACTGTATTCAAATTAGCCGCACATGGTGTAAAGAAGTTTGTCATGAACTTTATAAGAGGCGTAAAAACTTTAATACAAAATACGATGATTTATTGGAGAAACTAGACAGATGCCATAGACAATCGGATATAAATGATAATGAAATTGAGCCTATATATAATAATGCATTAATAACATTTGATAAGCATAAAAGTAGAAAGGTATTTATTAAATAAAAATCTGATCTTCAGTAAAAGAATTAGAAATGCGATATTGAAGAAGATAATTATGGAAACCCATTAGATTCATATAATTTTGGAGAAGATACATTCGAATATATAAAATATCT